ACACACACACACACACACACACACACACACACACACACACACACACACAGTAGCTCAATAGGAAATTGGATTTTAATATTACGTTTTTATTCATAAGATAAAACCAAAGCAGAAGCTTGTACATTTAATGTTAGTTTAAATCTGATAAACTGAACAGTGAGGAGTCATTCATAGCTCGATAATACCCATTTATATTGAAAATATACATGTATATTTCTGGTTTCAGTCAAAACGGTGGGGAATGCAAAGACCTGGTCAACGGGTATGAGTGTGTCTGCGCAGAGGGATTTACGGGAGTTGATTGTCGGCATAGTAAGCACCATTCATTGCATTTTTAAGGGATTCCAATATTTGCTGCCACATCTTATGCATATTTGTAAATTTACTAGTAATAATTCAAGTCTTTTAGTGTCACAATGATCAACATGAGTAATTTCCACTGTAATTCGAGCTCTAAATACGTTTAGTTCACTGTAGCGCCAAGGCTCAAAAATGAGAAATAATGCAAAGAACACTATGGCAGTCGTCACCAATTATGAAAGCACTGAGCGCTTTTCTAGGCTTCATAAAAACTTAACCTGAAATACTTGCAAATACCTCCTTTTTAGATATTGACGAATGTGTGGACCATCCTTGTGCATACGGAGCCCGGTGTGTCGATAAAATCGGCACATATGAGTGTATTTGTCCTGAGGGTCGTAGTGGTCGTCATTGTGAGGAGGTCGTTGCCCCTATCATCCCGAAACCGCCTTCATGTCGTTTCAATCACCGCATATTCGATCACGGTGAAAGGTGGTCCTCATACTGCGCCACTTGTGAGTGTGTAGAGGGAAATATTGTGTGCAAGAGGGTAAGCCACTTCCATTTGCCTAACTGTATTAGCAATAAGTTCAAATTAGTGTTAATTGCATTCACATGTAAATGGTGGGCTGAATAGGACTAGGTCAATAGTCGTATCAACTTACCTCGATTAGTTGGAAACTGTGGAAAGGTGTGGGGGGAGGGATTAAGATCAATATTTTTAGGATCGTTTTGTAAACAAGACAATACCATAAAGGTCAATAGGTATATGAGAGGTTGGAAGATGGGTTGGAAGCACTGGGAACCACTTCATATTGTTACAGCTTAGGAATATCGAGTACCGAATGCTTTAAATTACTCTCCTTCTGATTGGTCTATAAGGTGGGAAGTGCTTCCGTATCGACTTCTGAGGTTGCCTGCTCAGTTCACTGCCAATTTCACAATAGTAACGTGATTGGTGACTTTCGGAGACAATAGCCATTGAAGCTAGCTGAACTATAAAATCTAAAAAATCTTATAGATTCGTTACTGTCCTCCTAATATAACCGAGATTCATAAGTTAAAACCATCGCCCCGACAATTGACTGCTCTACTTCAATTTGGCAAGACCATAAAAGTTAATCAATTCCTGATGGATGATTTGTAGGGCTTTATCCATATATACGTTAAAGGAATGGTTCTATTTTTTAACAGTTATAACAAAAATTAAACACCATTTTTTTTTAATTTTTTAAATACGCAAAATTTATGGGCAGTTGAAAGTCATAACTAGCTTTTCTTAGTCAGGAATTTTTCATGAACTGGTGTGATTTTGATTACCCCCTCCCCCTCCAACCCTACCCCTCAATTAGGAGCGATAATTAACTCCTCCACCCTTTTTCCACAATGTCAAAATCAGAGTTTCACAAGTTTTTCAAAGCTTAATGGATCCTTTTCAATTGTTTGAGATGTTCAACGGCCTTTTTTTACAGAACTCAAAGTTATTTAGACTTAATAACTTCTAAATATGCGGATTCTACCATTTTATCCATATCCTCTGTCCATTCTTCCTATTCGATTAAGCCTTCTTCATCTGTTGAAATTTGAGAGCCTGAAGCTGCTGAAGGAGTCATCAACTTCCCCTTACTTTCATTCATGATCCTAAAGTAGAAAAATGCTATGAATCATCATAAATTTAAGGATAAATGTGTCCACGCTGAATTTAGTCAAGTGAAATTTGGAAAACAAGACCACGCTGTTTTGTCAGGAAGGAGATTGGGTCTTGACGGACATAGACATCAGTCAAAGTTCGTCCTACTCGAGGAATTCGGTGTACTAAGTTACTTTGAAGCTGTACAGGCCTTGGGAGAAGTTTTAGTTAGTACTCTCCTTCTTCAAGACGAATTTCTCTGTATCAAACGTGTGATCGAACATGATGAGGCTGTGATAATCTTAATTTCGCCCCTTGCTAGGCTAACACTCAGATATGTCCCATTTTCATCTCTGCAGCACACACGAAGTCTAAGCTATCAGTAAAAATGCCTTTACTAAAACTACTCAACTGTGAAATTGCAATAAATAGACCAAGAAAGAATTAAGAGGCCAAATTTCGCGAGTGATTCAGTCTCGACCGATGCTGTTACCATACACACCCATCTGATACCCAAAAATGTCTGCAACCATGTAACAATTCACATAATTTGTAGCACAACTGAATTCCCCAGTAAAAGGAAATTGCTGTTGGCTTGATTATGCTGTCGAGCAAATATTATGGTCTAGCGTCTTTACGTGATATTTCAACAGGGTCTTGATTAATAAAAAAAATATACTAAGGTAAAAATAAGACGGATCCCGAATGCTAAGTCACTTCACCTCCTTATGGGATTAGTCATCCCTCGCAGTCTTGCGTTAGGTGGATGAAGAACATAAACTTCAAGAACAAAAATGGGTGTGTTAAAGCTGTTATTTCCTTCAAATGGGGGCCGCATCAATTATTTTTGTCAGAATGCGAATGGGACTCTTCATTTGGGTGCCGACTATCCAACCGAATAGGCATTGCATTGGAACCCAATTGTTTGCCAAGACAAGTTCTTGATGAAATCTCTTCACTGTCTATATCAAATGGCAGTCTTTATGATAATAATAATATATTATATCAAATGGCAGGCGTTTTGATGGTTATCATTAGGTTGACTTCAGTCTTCACAGAGGGGAAGGAACATCAAAGTGTAAAAAAATTCAAGAGTGGGGGGACAGAAGAGTGTATCAAATACGAAGCTAGATAAGGTGGAAAAAGGTGGGATGAGTACTGTGATAGTAGTCGAATATGACATACTGTGGGATCATGGTAGTTTGAAGTCAACAGCCAGGTAATAGACTTTTTTGCCGTATGAGTATACGTTGCCCAGGGTGCACCACGTGGAGGTAAGTATCTCTTCAATATGGAATAGTGGCAAATGTTCAGCAAAGCTCGCTTTTGCAGAGTCTTGCACCAAATCGTAGTTGCGTCAGAACCACAAACCTACTGACTACCAAAATGGACTGTTATCAATACCACTATAACTGACTTCTATTCACTGTCCTTACAGCACTTGTTATTTTCTAATAAATAACGGATATCAGACCTCTGGCACTGTTGCTTACCTGGACGACATGGTTGATACAGACCACCCTCATCAGAAACTTCGAGAACTTCCCCCCCCCCCACTCATTTGACGTATGGCTTGGTATATATGACAGGAAAAAAAACAACTGGATATTTGTGGCCTTTAAAAGTACCTAGAAGGCACCTTTTGTGAAATGGTTACCCAAAGGCAGTTAGAAAAGCTTTGTACAGCTGTAGAAAAACCACATTGCTTTTCTTACTATTAAAAAGTAGGTAGGTTAGTGTGATCCGGTGTATATTATTCAATCCTAAGGAAATGTGACTATTTTGGATGCTTCTATGGCTACAATGTTATTATAAGTCAACATGCGTGATTAAAAAAATAGTTAAGTAGATTTTCACTTATAACATACTGAAGTGTTTGCTCAATTCTAATGCGCGTTTACTTACATTCAATAGGAGTTTTGTGGCTACTGGTCCTGCCTTACGGCAAACAGTAATGGGGATCCCTTCGCTTGTGGTCCAGGGGAAGAATGTCGACTACTGAGTGCCGCTCCCTCTCCCCCACTTTGCCTAACACCACCATGTTACGCTCGTGCCCAATGCGTCAACGCATCATTCACAGACTTCAATTTTTCACCAATGATACCTCTTGGCCTTCCACCAGCTTTGTCTAGTTGTCGACCGGGATCAGCCAGGCTAACCAATCAGTGCGCTAGATTAGCGGTTGTATTGTCACGTTCTCAACTCCCTTATGGTGTCACCGTTGAAGACTTCTGTAACTCGGTTAAGGCCCTTCCTGCAGTGGAATATGCCAGAACTGGAAGTAGTGAAGGAGGATTGCTGGGAATGAGTTGTGGACTGGCCGGAATTCAACCTGAATTTGGGTCTGATTTGGCCTTTATTGAGGCAAGTATCTACTCACAAAAATAACTGTGAAATTTCGATGAGTGAAAATATCATTGAATTGAACTACTTTAGATCACCTTAACGTCCACTGATGAACGAATTCGGACAGCTGAAGATGGTAAAGAGTTTGTTTTCGTGCAGCGCTTTGCGCACAACATTGCGACAGCTATTCGAGAGAATGCCTCCGCGAATGTCACAACGGATACCCAGAATCCACCTTCACTGGCTCTTATGATGGGAGCTGAGTCCCAGGACATTTACTGGAACTCTATTCTTCACGGAATTTCCGAAATTAATGTGGAGACCGTTCTGGTTAAAGATGATGAGATTCGTAAATTTAGTTTGTACCGCTTATATTATGCTCGTATGCAAAGGTATTGACGGATATTTTTTTATTTTATAGCCACCAATCCGTTGCTAGTACCATTAGCCTGCTCCCTTGTGGTAGCGGTAGGAGTTCTCCTTACTTGCATAATCTGCGTCTGTGCGCATCGAAAGCGCCAAGAACTAATGGAGAAGTATTCCATTAAACAACCCCCGGTGATAGCAGCTATTCCTGCAGATCACAACATTACTACGCCCACAACTATCACACATCAATACTACACTCCAGGAATAGTCTATACTACCAGCCCGGCAGGGCAGCAGCAAATGACTTTAGCTCGTGTACAAACTTAACCCTGGGCTTTGTGCACCGCTACAGCACTTACAATACCTTTCCCTTTTTGTACAGTATATTATCTACTTTAAGTGCAATATGACTTATTTAACCTATTATCTATACTCCTAAGAAAAAAATCACATTCTAATGGGAAACGTATTAGTAATGGCATACCATGACATGGAATCATCAAATACTAGGTGTACATCTTGTTATTAGGTCAGTATTTTCAAAAAAGGGAGTTAAAACTATCCCTTAAAGCAAGGAGTCACTTATCTTGACTAATAACTCCATGTTTCTAACAGTTAGAGGTTCGCATGAAGAAACAGTATTCTCGCCTTTAAGACTGATTGCTCCAGTAGATTAACATAACGCCATTTGCTGATTTTTACAAAGAATAAATCAAGATAGCAGAAGCGGGTTTTCTGATCGACCCGTTTTTTAAAAAGTAGAAATCGGTACTTATGACCTTTAAGTAATATATCTATATCCCTAAAATGTTCACACATCGAAGTAGCTAGCTATTTCAGAAATTATTTGGTATAATTTGCACAGATGGTTATTTTAACTAAACGAAAGAAACATTATCGTGAAGTCGCCAATCATAAAGTAACAGAACAAGTCAGCAATTTGAGTAAAAAACATGCATTCTTTAATTTCAAAAATTGCATATAAAATAAAATGAAATGCGTACAGAAAACATAGCAAGGCAAGAGAAGGATATGTACGATTACAGTGAAGAAACAGGCACAATGGCAGACATTCCTTGTAGTACAGTGAGCATTTGCTCCAAAACACTGTCTTCTGTGTTGAGCTTGGCTTCATTTGACCTGCAGTGCTCCGCCCCGGCGCAGCCAATAAGAACAAGCTTGCACTTGGCCCGTGTCAATGCAACGTTTAATCGCGAAGCATCGTCTAAAAGCAAACTCGAACGCTTCTCGTCAGCGTCCTAAAATAAATAAATAAATAAATAATAAAAATAAATACAATATTATTTATTACACCATTTAACTGCTCCTTAGAGTTTAAGGCATGCATAAATACATTTATTTATTTATTTCGAATGGCAGGCATTTTGATAGTTATCATTAACCCTTTAGTTGACTTCGAACTTCACAGAGGGGAGGAGAAACATCAAAGTTAGAAAAATTCAAGAGAGTGGACCGAAGAGTGATTTGCAGATGTAAAAGAGGCAGACACAATGGTAGGGAGTAGGGTTGGGTGAGTACTGTAGAAGTGGTCGACTATGACATACAGTGAGGTCATGGTAGTTTGAAGTCAGAAGTCAACTGCCGATTAATAGACTTTTTTCCGTATGAGTAAACGTTGCCCAGGGTGCACCATGTGGAGGTAAGTCTATCGCACACCCCTGCATAAATACATTAATTCGAGTCGAAACGGAAAACGTTTTCCCAAATGCATCTGAGGGTTTAGGTACAAGAAACAAGGTGTTGGGAGAATGAGATTTGGCAATTATAAAGAGAACTCGGTTCTTTGTCATTTCTACTTATTTTATGGGAATTAGCCCAAAAAAACAGCATTTAATATCCTGCAGACTGTTACGCATTTTGAGAAATATTAAGGAGTCGAGGCTGAATAAAAATGCAACTTGTAAACCAGATAGTTTGACATTCGGGGATACG